TGTAGAGAGTTTAGTTCACTGGAGGGACTCAACTATTACTGCAGGTGGCATGAAAAACTACAAATCCCAAAAGGGGGATACAAAAATAGAAGCAGATGTAGTTTTTTCCAGCTTTGTGATAGGAAGGGCACTCTTTCTGCAGGGAGGCCAGGGCGAAGCACATCATAACCCACCTGTGTGCAGTGTGAGCAGAGAGCTAGACATCTTTACTTGGATGCAGAGGGATGCTATCCTGGAGCCTTGAACCACAACCTGGACTATGGGGAGCCTGCTGTGCAGCAGGGAGACACACTATACCACCAGGGAGGCCCTTTTTGCCAGGCTAAAAGCTGCTGCGTACATAGAACTGGTGAGTGGTCACTGGCCAACCATACACTGCAACTGCTAGCAGAGGAGCTTCTATCTGCTCACCAATCCTGATGCTATGATGGCTTCAGGGGTCCAAGCTGTCCCAGACTGGGCTCTTGTGGAATCTGCAACCAGGTTAGGGCACCTGGCCGAGCACCCTTTGATGCTGGGATTCTGCTGTGACTCGTATGTATTTGGCTCACCAGCTAAAGATCCTCCACACCAATCCGGACCACGGCCTGCTGAACTTTCCGGAACAACTGGGTCCGTTCACTCAGCTTCAGCCCATAGTCCCAAGAGAGCAAGCGCTTCCCCAGGTTCCATATATATATCCCCCCCCAGCATTCCCTCTTTCTTCCTTCAATCAGCTAGAACTTATAGTCCCCAACGATATGGGACCTTTGCAGATCTCTGCTTTCTGGACTACATGTCCCACAATCCTTTGCTTTCCATCGGGGTCCTTCCTCTGCACATATAATACATTATATACATATAATGTCACTATACCAGGCCGAATATTGGAGGAAGTGAAGCTTAATATAGGTCTCGTTTAAGGATGTCCACAGGTAAACTAGCCAGCACTGGGCTACACGGAATATAATTTTGGGGAGTTTGTGGAGCTCTAGTCAGATTTTTTTGTAAGTGGGTTACATCACAGTTAACCCCACGCCTGCCTGTGGAGCTGAACCACACAACTTCTGACACCATCTATACTATGTAACCAGCAGGTGCTACAGAAGCACCCATTGCTTAATTAACAGCTGTCTTCTCTAAAGGAAAGAATGTTGTATCTGATCTTCTCCCTCCCTGGTGCCCGATCTCCTTGACATCACCAGAGCTACACCGCTATATGAATCTTTGCTGCAGCTCTAGCACTTGTGATGTGGAGGAGATTGGGTGCTGGAGTATGGCAGGGGGAGAAGATCGGATGAGACATCCCTTCCTTTCCAGATGACAACTGTCAAGTAACCAGTGGCGCTTCAGTAGCACCCACTGGTTACATAGCATACAGTATATGCAGCTGGCAGCTATGGGGTTCGGCCATGCCTCCCCTGTCCTCTCCAGTTTCAACTCTATGTGTAGTAAACTTTTCAGCTGTTGCATTATCATCATTTGTTGTTATTTGTTGTGCAATTTATTCTAATGCATTAATACATTGTAGCCCAGATCTGCATGTTTGAGGGACCCTGACCAAACCTTGGCAGGAGGCTTGGCATGGTGGCCACGGCAACCCTCAAGGGAGAGACTGTGAAGCAGTGGTCAGTGTCAGGTGGAAGATGGAGTGAGGAAGGCTGGAGTGTGTAGCCTGGGAGGGGACCTACCTACAGGCTGGTTGCTGGACAAAAGGATCTCTATTGCCTCAATGTCTACTGAGGAGGACAGCTTGCGTAGCAGGGAAGCAGCCAGCCCAGCAATATACCTTTGTAGGGTCCAGGTATCACCTCATGCTACCAGTAGTGACACTGACCCTAGCCAAATGCAAAGCTAGTGAAAAACAGTCAGAAAAGATGAGTAGGAATAAATATATCAGTGCCCTCCACCTGTAAAACCATTCCTGTTTTGGGGGTCATCTCTTTGCTGCCCATCTAGTGCACCTGTTGTTAATTTCATTAACACCAAAGCAGCTGAAACTGATTAACAATCCCCTTTGCTACTTAACTGACCAGATCAATATTACAGGAGTTTATTTGACCTAATGCTATACTCTGATTAAAAAGTTTTCCATTAATTTTTGAGCGGTGTACATTTTATGAAGTGCCCGGATGTGCCCCATGCTTTCACAGTATACACTGAAAGCTATATATAGTTAGTCTGGTTGAAAAAAGATACAAGTCAATCTAGTTCAACCAATAAACAGGGGAAACAATTATACAATCCTATATACACAATCCTATACCAACAGTTGATCCAGAGGAAGGCAAAAAAAAACCAGAAAAGAATGATCCATTTGCTCTAGCAGGGGAAAAAATTCCTTCTTGACCCCTCAAGATTTAATTGGATATTCCCTGGATCAACTTTACCTATAAATGTGATTCTATTGTAACGTCCTCCAGGTTAGTTAGAAAGGATTTTTGTGAGATAGAGCCTGGATAGCAGTCTGGGATGAGTCATCCTGGTAATGAGGTAGTGAGTTCACCTCAGGACAGGCTGGGAGGCTCTAACAGATCAGGGCATCTGGAGCCCTCCCACTGCACCAGAAACTGGAGAACTTTCTGGAAGAAGGGGGGAGGGGAGAAGGCCCAGATCTGCATGTTTGAGGGACCCTGACCAAACCTTGGCAGGAGGCTTGGCATGGTGACCAAGGCAACCCTCAAGTATCAGAGAGCCTGTGAAGCAGTGGTCAGTGTCAGGTGGAAGATGGAGATAGGAAGGCTGGAGTGTGTAGCCTGGGAGGGGGCCTACCTACAGGCTGGTTGCTGGACTAGAGGATCTCTATTGCCTCAATGTCTCCTGAGGAGGACAGCTTGCGTAGCAGATAAGCAGCCAGCCCAGCAAAATGCCTGAAAGCAGCCACCAATCCATTAAGCTAACAAGAGAGGACAGTGTGAGTACTCTTACACCCCCTGGCCCAGATAAGGGGAGAGGTCAGTCAGGTGCAAGGCCGGCTAGCTTCTCATCTGGGACTGATCTCCACATTTTTGTACATAGTTGCTAAGTAGTTTGTCCTCAAGTTCTGCACTTCTGTTGGGCATCCCATATACCCCTAGATTCCATTTAAGTTCTTAAACCCTTAATAAACTCACAAAATCAAGATTAAGGACTGTTTATTGTCTCCAGTACGCAAAGTGTGGAAAATTTGTGTTGCCTGGCCGTGCATAGCTCAGGGGGACCCAATTCAAAATGCAGCGGTTGTAGTGCTACACTGTGTAAATAATGATTCAGAGAAAACATTTAATGACAATTATACTTTATCTAAATGTGTCTTATATTATACTAACCTTTGCAACATGGTTTTGATATTCTAAAGCTAATATGTCTGTAATGACCACACTGGCACCTCTTTAGCCATATAAAGCCTGTTACACAGTGATTTTAAAGGAAATAAAATATAAAGGCACATGTTTCTGACATGAGGTTTTTGAAAATAATAAAGCCAAAGTTTATTTTTACTTTAAATGGTCCTTCCCTCATTAGCATGCTGATGAAATGTTTTAATAAAACCTTTTCAGTTTTCAGTTCATTACATACCGTATTTTAGACTCAGGGATGTCATCACTGGATGTCTGTGCTTCTCTATGTAGTGCAGGGAAATGATAACTGGTTGGGGGGGGGGGTTCAGGATGTTGTGTATAGCTTTCTAAAAACATTGCACACTGCCTCAGTACTCCTCTTAAGAACCCCCAGTTCTGATCCAAGTATTGGGTTGGGAAGAACTATGGAAATATCAAATATCCTGATAGGTGGATGCCAGTCTTGAGAAGTAGGCATTCCTGGACAGCCTGCATTTGCATGCAGACCTCTTTTCAGTAACACCCACTTGAGATATTGAGCCATTCTATGACTGAATGTACTGAAATCCAATAAATGAAAGGTTCACAAGAGGGGCAGAAGGCGCACATGCCCTGGGTGCAGAGGCTGTATGTAGAGGAGAGGGTGCGCTGGGAGCTCCAGCTGTTCCCTTCTCCATCCCTCTCACTGACAGGAGTAAATACAGTGACACTCCTGTCAGCAGGGCTTTTAAACTTCCAGAGAGCAGTGCTACAAGTGTCACCACCTCTGGCACTAGCCCTATGCTCACCGCTGTCACTTCTAGTAGAAGCTGGATTCCTGTGCCAGAGGACTAGGTGGGTAGCTGGGGTGGGGTAAAAAGCCCTGTTTTGATGGAGGAGGATAAATGATGAGTAACAATGAGCTCTTGTCTGTTAAAACATAAATCCAAACCCATCTGAGCTATCCTGCCAGGAAGCTGTCAAAGCCGACATCCAATCATAGGTGGCAGAGCAATTCCCCACCACACAGCCGCATATATTCAAGGGGCATGCATATGTGTGGCTGCAAAGGGTGGCATACCTCTGCCGCCTATGATTGGCTGCCACCTTTGACAGCTTCCCTGCGGGATAGCTCAGGCAGGTTTGGACCCGTGACTCAGGGACATTTTTTCCTTGCAGTGACACCACTGACTCAGGAACATTTTTTCCTTCCAGTGATGCTACCAACTCAGGGAAATGTTTTTAATCTCAATGACACCATCGGTTCAGGGACATGTTTTCTTTTCAGTGACACCATCAGCTTAGAGACATGTTTTTCTTTTCAGTGATATCACCGGCTCAGGGATATATTTGAAGTAAACTTGACCATGCTGAGAGGAATATACCCGGCTGGCCAATGTTTTTTTGTTTGCCCCATGCAGCAGCATAACTCAATTGTCTCTGAATCCTGTGTCCCTTAATGAACTCCAAGAACTAGATTTTTTGCAAAGTACAATAATTCTGCTTTATTGCTTTAATTGTTTTTTCTTTCTGTTTGTGGTCATCCTTTCCTTACATACGTTAAAATATTATGCAAAAAAACTACTTCTTCTTAGATAAGATGATGAAACAGCTAAACGGTTAACTGATATGAAATAACATCATTTGAAGCAACATCGGGTGAAAACTAACATCAGACTGCTATTAACAGGCTACAAGACAGGATCTACAGAAATGGAAAAGATGCTATTTGCATTTCACGTGTTCCTATCCCTGGTATTCTTTACCTTGTTGCATCCCGTTTCCTGTGACTTTGAGCCTATCACTGGAGATGATGCCAAATTTTGTCAAGGTGACCTTCATGTAATCTACCCCAGTTTGGGAGATGTTTCTTGCGTGTATGTACCGTACTGCTTTGGAAATTATCAATGTTTGAGAAAAGTTCTGGGCTCTCCATGGATACAATATCCTCATGCTAAACCAAAGAAGCTGTACACCTTGATAATGGTGGATCCAGATGCTCCGAGCAGATCCAACCCAATACACAGATTCTGGAGGCACTGGCTGGTAACAGATATTCCTAGTGATGTTCTTCTAAGAGGAAAAGAAGTAACTGGAACTGTTGCTTCTCCTTATCATCCACCAAGTCCACCAGCTCATATTGGATATCACAGATACCAGTTTCTGCTGTACGTTCAAAATCTTGGCATCTCTCCTTCTCTCAACCACAGTGATAGATTTCTGGGTCCCTGGGATGTCTATGCTTTTGCCCACCGCTGCGGACTGAAAGATCCTGTTGCTACAACTCAGTTTATGACCAGAAATCCACATATGTAGGATACAATATTTTTAAAATACAGCAAATTCTTGAATTTACTCTAAGGTATATTTATTTGTTGTATGTTGTATTCATGACCAAGCAATTATATAGGCATGAGATAATTATATAGAATCCCTGTTAGGAGCACATATTTGTTAGCAATATATAACATTTTTTTTACTTCAATTAATTTACTAACACATTGATGATAAAACAACTTTTTATATGTATTTTATACAAATAAAGTTGATTATTATATCAACTTTGGGCATTATTTCAGCAATGTGAAAAGTACTGGGTACTCAGCTGGGAAAAATAGCCGAGGTACATGCACCTAAATAAAAAGCCTATCATTTGAACCATGACTGGAATCAGTTCACTCTGCAAAGTGGAGCACATTTATTCATCTGTAATATATATAAAGCAAAACCTTTTTTTCTGTTTTGTATACATTAGGGAAGTCATGGGACCTCTGATAGAATTTTAGTGCTTGATGACCAGGACACAGGTCACAGGAGAGAAAGTGCTGGAAAATCCAAAATGTTAGAGTTGTCACCTGAACATGAGAGAATGCTTCCAATATGGCAATTGTTCAGGAGAGGAGATTTTCCTCACTTTAGAGGGATTTTCTCTTATGTACCATTGTGTCTTTAGAATAAGAAGGATGAGGGAATTCATAATTGCACACAGCAAAAAAAAATGTCAAGGGTTCTAACCATTCCCTACTATAACCAATACTAAAACAACAAAAAACTAGCTTTAAATTATAAGTACAAAAGGAATACTTCTCCAAATTTAGAAAATGTATAGAAATGAAACAGCTTTTCAGAGAGCATTATACAAGACAGTGAAGAGGCAATATGTTTACTTGAATAGGTGAACATGGCAAGGGTTTGATTCTTGCTGTGGCACATGTACAGCCCTAAGTGGTTGCATGCCCTTGTTTAGGTAGGCAGTCGGGAGGGTAAAAATGTGGGTCAATTGCTCTCTTGGCTGCAGTCTGAATGAGCCAAATTAGAGAAAGAATATACTGATAGCTTGCTTGATCTTTCACTCTCTACCTAGTTGTTTGTTTATATCATACAGTTAAATAGAGGTAGAAATTCACAGCTCACATCCTAAGTGGTTGCTTCTACTTTCAGTTAGGAATCCTCTTACAGCCTATTGCTACTCAGAACCAGACCAATATGTTTTTAGAAAAAGGGGGTATACAGATCTAATGGGTTATTCTTCCTCTTATTTTCCCGTGATCAGCCCTTCGCCATCACTATTACTTTACTATTACTAAGCTACTAAACCAACTCTAGGGACAACAACAAAAACAAATTACCTTTTCAGTGCCCCCCTACTAACTAAAATAGAACTCTGTGCAAAATCCTCTTTACATGTTCCTTGTTGCTGATTTCCTACCTTCACTGAATATGTCATCCATCTCCTGGATCACTCAGGAGTTGCTCTGAAATAACCTATTAATTTTCAAATCAAACCATTAATTCTCCTTAGTTTCATGTTTGTAAGATCAGTGGCTGCTATGCCTCCTATTCCCCCAGCCACTGGTCTTGGCATATCCCTTCTGTAGTTCTTTCTCCAGGAAGCAGTGATGTCATTGAGCCCCACTTGCAGTAATGGGCGGACCGAGATTCTCAGACACATTCCACATGTACAGGCCTAGTGGACCTGCCCACATTCACTACAATTCCCTGTGATTGATGGGATTGGTAGTTTCCTTTTACTGCAGAAAGAGGAGAGGATATGATGTAATCCCTGCTGTTACACCTCTTCCGCATGGGGCCATGAAAATGCAATTAGACTTTTTTCCTAAATGGTAAGGATTTTCAAAATTGTATTAACTGTTTAGTGTTTTGTGTAAGGGGGTGTACTAATGGGTGATTTGTTTGCTTATCTGGAAGTTCTTCTTTAAGTCCAGGGGGTTGCAGAAAATGCTGTATTGCTTTTCTTTTCTGCTTCATCAGAGACCCTCAGCGGTGCAATTGGTCTTCAGCAGCCTCCTCTTGCTGTGTTCACACATTTGCGCCTGCAATGTTCATGATAATGTCAAAGGACCACTCACAGACTACAGCTTTGGGGAGAAGAGGGCAGCCTCTACCAGTACCCTATAAGCTTAATGAGCATTGACCCTTAATTTCCTACAGGAAGAAAGGAGTGACCCTTCTCCACATTCAGTGATTTCCATGCATTCTTGAAAATCTCTGCCACCAACTCAACAGCTATCACTCTTCTGGAAAGCTGAAAGTGAATGTTTAAAGTTGCTTGTTTAAAGTCTGATTACCAGGTAATCATCATAAAACATACAATATATTGCCAAAAGTATTGGGGCACCCCTCCAAATCATTGGGTTCAGGTATTCAAATCATCTCCATGGCCACAGGTGTATAAAATCAAGCAACTAGGCATGCAGACTGCTTCTACAAACATTTGTGAAAGAATGGGTCACTCTCAGGAGCTCAGTGAATTCAAGCGTTGTACTCTGATAGGTTGTCACCTGTGCAGTAAGTCCATTTGTAAAATTTCCTTGCTACAAAATATTCCACAGTCAACTGTTAGTGATATTATAACAAAGTGGAAGCAACTAGGAACAACAGCAACTCAACTGCGAAGTGGAAGGCCACATAAAATGACAGAGCGGGGTCAGTGCATGTTGAAACGCGCAGAAGTCATCAACTGTCTGCAAAGTCAATAGCTAAAGACCTCCAAACTTTGTGTGGCCTTCAGATTAGCACAACGACAGTGTGTAGAGAGCTTCATGGAATGGGTTTCCATGGCCAAGCACCTGTATCCAAGCCTTACATCAGCAAGTGCAATGCAAAGCCTCAGATGCAGTGGTGTAAAGCACAATGCCACTGGACTCTATAGCAGTGGAGATTTGTTCTCTGGAGTCTGGAGTGACATATCATGCTTCTTTGTCTGGCAATCTGATGGATGTGTCTGGGTTTGGCGGTTGCCAGGAGAGCAGTACTTGCATGTATTGCCTGCTAAGTGTAAAGTTTGGTGGAGGGGGATTATGGTGTGGGGTTGTTTTTTAGAGGTTGGGCTTGGCCCCTTAGTCCCAGTGAAGGGAATTCTTAAGGCGTCAGCATACCAAGAGATTTTAGACAATTTCATGCTCCCATCTTTGTGGGGACAATTTGGGGGTGACCCCCTTCCTGTTCCCACATGACACCGCACCAGTGCACAAAGCAAGGTCCATAAAGACATGGATGAGCAAGTTTGAGGTGGAGGAACTTGACTGGCCTGCCCAGAGTCCTTACCTCAACCCGATAGAACACCTTTGGGATGAAATAGGGCCGAGACCGTGAGCCAGGCCTTCTCATCCGACGTCAGTGCCTGACCTCACAAATGCGCTTCTGGAAGAATGGTCAAACATTCCCATAGACACACTCCTAAACCTTGTGAACAGCCTTCCCAGAAGAGTTGAAGCTGTTATAGCTGCAAATGGTGGGCTAACTCAATATTGAACCCTACGGACTAAGACTGGGATACCATTAAAGTTCATGTGCGCGTAAAGGCAGGCGTCCCAGTACTTTTGGCAATATAGTGTATATCTAATGCTTGCCCATCTTATAAAAAAAAAAAAATTAAAACAAGGACAAGAGTTCCGCTTTAAACAGCACATTATATACAGTACCTAATCCAGAATGAAATGTGAGCTTCAGAGAAGTCATTCATCAAATATTACACAGCCAAGTGGATAAAGCATGCAATAATTGTAATAGAATTCTGTGTTCAGACTAGTTTATTACTACTTACCAGAATATAGCTGTATCCTTCAGGCTGCACCAAGGCAATAATGTGGGACTTTAGTGACACTCTGTGGCAATAAAGAGAACTGCCACCTAAGTAGGCGATACCATAAACAAACAAATAAGTAAAAAGTTAATAGTTCATTACGTTTTATTTAAAAGTTAATATTTACAGTGCTTAGCATAAATATTAACCCACTTAGTCTTTTCTATATTCTGCACTGTTATAGCCTGAAAAAAAGACTATTTACCATTTGAGTGCTACAACATAGTTAGGCCTTTACCACCCAGGGGTAATGTGGGATGGGAAGATCTGCCCAATCGTGCGACTACTCCAATTGGCAGGCACAGTGGTCACATGATCAAAAACCAGTCCCACCAACTTCAAATCAATGATAGAGACCAGAGGCTGTCTTTGATAGCTCCCTCACTGTGCTGGGAGCACACAGTGAGTACATTCTAAGCACAGAAATCTCTGTCGCCCATGGATCCATATATTTTTCATGTGGGCTTCATTGGCAACAGATTAAAGAGAAAGGACAGAGCCAGGGGCGGACTGACCATTTGGAAACTCGGGCACTGCCCGAGGGCCCGGGGTCAGCAGGGGGCCCCATGAGATGCCCCTGGTACCTTTTTCATAGGCGTTTTTGAGTTTGGGCAAATACACAGGGGTCCCATGATCCCCTATTGCCCGGGGGCCCCATGAGTTGTCAGTCCGCCCCTGGACAGAGCATTTTCAGTAGACACATATTTTGTTATTATTTTTTGTGTTTACCAGAAGATCTATAGTCACAGCATACACTATCATTTTAGCATTCAGCATTCTCATTGCAATACAAAAAGAAAAAAAAATGTAGAAACACAACACTAGCTCAGTAAACACAAACGCACACAGATCCATAGCTTCGCTCAAGTTTGACCTCTCCTGACCATGGACAACCTGGGTGCCGACCATCACAATCTATCTCCACTCTTCATTGAACTTCCCCTATCCTTGTGAGCAAGCCGGGAGTGGTGAAATGCTTCAAGGAAGGCTGGTTTTGGGTTGGAGACATCATTCTATGCAATGATTATTTTTAAAAAAAATGCATGATGAGCTAATTGGAGTGCAGCTGATTTTTTCCTACTAGCCCAATAAACCTTTTATTGATGAGAAATATGTAAAAACATTTTTTTCTCTTTGCTTGCAAGATTGCCCTGCATCCCCCTGTGCAGATCTACAGGGATAGCTGCAGAAGAATAAGCATGCGACAAGA